ATGGTAGGCATGGCCATACATTATGGGGAAAGGATCTGGGATTCTATTTTTTACACCAGCTTTAAGTCATTTAAATTATTTTTATCACTATCCCTTAACCATGCTCCTATGTATTCAATGCATTCTGTTTCTGGCCTTTCTAGGGTTCTGCAACAAGCATTGGTTTACTTCCTCAATTTTTTTTTTCTTTTTTTTTCTTCTTTTTTTTTTTTTACCTTCTCTCTTGTATTATTGTCTTCTTTCTATAATCTTTGTTTTGTTTTTTTTGCTAAGTTTAACCTGCAGTCACTCATTGTATTCCTTTTTTAAAGAGTAAAAGATAGTTTAGTGACTAACCCACCATAATAAAAATTTGATACTATATTTACTGTCAACATTTATGGTTTGAACCCCACCTCTAAAATAAAAGATGGCAGGATGGAGTGTATGTAGTCTATCTTGTCATTTTGTGGCTGAATTTTATTTGCTGTATAGCATGATAATACTGGGAATTGTTTTTAAATTTTAGGAAGTGCATTCAGTACACTAAAATATGTCAAAGGTTATTGCTCATTTACTTTAAAGATGTTAGAATTAAATATAAATACAACCATTATAAATTAATGTATAGCATTTTAATTGGTACATTTTTCTCTGTATTTGATTGTTGATGGTAGGGGGGAATAGACTTATTTTGCTAATGAAGTTTCTTTTATTCCTACAAAAAACAGACTTTTACCATCAAAGGCACATATTTGAAATTTGGTGGAACTTCACATATTTTTTAAAATAATTTTACTAATATATACTATCTTGTTGTTGTATGACTTAAGATCATTAGTAAGCTAAGAGTATATTTTAGAAAAAATTGACTAGTCAACAATTATGGCTATAGGAAATGATGGTCAATTAAATACAGCTTAAAACAAGTCTGAAATTATTGACTCAGTTGTTATGTTTTGAGTCCTTCCTCTCCAAAGTGCTGAAATGTGTTTTGAAATTACTTAGTTGCATTAGTGGTTGGATTTGAGGCTTTTAACGTGTTTTTCACCAATACCTCTGGGAAAAGAATAACCAAGACTTTTAAAGGTACTATGCATTTTGCATCACTATATAATTGTAAATACTGTGATGAAATATTGAAATGATCATGAAAGATGATAACCATTAAGCTTTTCTTTCAACTATTAAAACTCACTAAAGGTTATATTGAGCTGTGGTTTATAAAATTGTTTAGACTAACACCTTCTTTGATAATTATCTCAAAAGAGGAGAAAAATGCCATAGGATAGTACGATTAATGAGTCATCTTTCTAGTTTTGGCAACTTCCTAAGGATTGTGGATAGTGTTTTAGTATGGTGAAAACTTGTTGGCTTAGACTAACAGCTGAGTTTATTACAGAAATTAATTGTATATTCTCATGGGCATCAGTTTCTTTTTGTGTTATTAATTCTTACAGCATGTCTTTATATACCTGAAATGTTATATCTTATTAAATGTTAATAATTTATAGTTATGAATGGATTATAGACAAATTAAAATTCACTGATATCTTTGAGAACTGTGAGATTTTTTTCCCCTATACCCAAAAGTGTAAGTAAGATTTATATTTTCTCTCCATTTCTCATTTTGTCTAATTTTTTTTTTTTTTTTTTAGCTATTGAAAATTTTTTTCCAGGTGATTAGATGCTAGTTGCTATAAGTTAACAAGTGTGGATTTATACGTGATCGTTGGGAAAACAAGAAGCTTAATGCATTAGTAGTAGTAAATTTTTGTTTCTGAGCTTTGATAACAAATTCGACTTCTATTTGTCCGTTCATGTCTAATTTGTTTTTCAGTTAAAATATTTTGTGTGACATATAAAATTAAGAGCATACATATTTTCAAATTGCAGTTTTTTAAATAGTTTTACCAACTTTAACTAGTTTTATATCTGACCTAAATCATGCTATTTTAAATCTTTGTGAAATTTAAATGGTATACTTCCTGATTTTACATTATAAGTAAATGTCAGTTTGTATGCCTAAATGAAAAAAAATCAAATTGTTATTTTCCTTTCTATTAAATTTTAGTCTCTCTGCTGTTTTATATTTTTTCCATGACTAGAGATTTGAATTTCATATGGCTTAGATAGTAAAAATATCCACCTGTTGGAGTTTTAGATCAAATAAAACTGAGAAAAATAATGTTAGTGAATCTGTTAAATATGGAATGTGTGATTTAACAATTATAGGGTATCCATTTGCCTTCCTATTTATTTTATTTTCTTTAGCAAGAAAAATATCTTTCTTTTTATTAAAGTTAATTTCCATTTTGAGATTTTTCCTTCCAGTAAGTGATCTTAATAAGAACTCAGAGTAAGGTCTTGCCTCATCATAATCTGGTGCTCTATTTGATTTCCATGTTGCTTGCTGAGCTGCTGTGTTGAGTATAAAGGACTGAGGAGGGAGTCTGTGCTTCTGTTCTTTGACTTTGGTGAACGTGGCATCCCTTGGGTTGTCATCATCCCTTGATTTCCTGCTGTCTATCAACAATGGTCACAAATGTTATCTCCTTATGCCCTCAAAGCCTCAGCTACTTGCACATCCTTATATAGTAATTTTCTGACTCTTCCAAGAGCACGAGAATTTTTATACCCAAGGCTCTTTTAGATCCCTTTATCATTACATCTGTGTCTCTTTCCAATCCCTGTGCATTGTTATGTTTAGGCAACTCTTTGAGACTTGGTGAAGTGAGGTGTGGGATCTCCTGCATCAGCATCCAAAAAGTTAACGTGCAGTTTCTGCTTTCTCTCTCTCTCCTTCTCCCTTATTAAAATCTAGAGGCCCAGTGCACGAAATTCATTTATGGGGCTTTGTGGGGAGGGTGTCCTTCAGCCCAGCCTGCACCCTCTCCAATCTGGGACCCATTGAGTGATGTCTGACCGCTCATTTAGGCCCGATCCCCCTAACCACTCTCCTGCCAGTCTGATGAATACCTAACTGCTCCCTGGCTGGCTCAATTGCCCCTAACTGTCCACCTCTGCCAGTCTGGTCGCCCCCAACTGCCCTCCTTTGCTGGCCCGGTCACCCCTAACTGCCCTCCTCTGCAGGCCTTCCCCGCATCCCCCCAACTGCCCTCCTCTGATGGCCTGTTCACCCCTAACTGCCCACAACTGCCCTCCCCTGTAGGCTATCTTGTGGTGGCCTTCTTGTGTCCACATGGAGCAGCAATTTTTGACCACATGGGGGCAGCCATCTTGTGTCTTGGAGTGATAGTCAATTTGCATATTACTCTTTTATTAGATAGTATGGGGAGGGAGTGACACATGGTCTTCTCGGGGATATACTCCTTTATGGAATTTGGTTGCTTTCTTTTGTATTATCTATTTAATTTTATAAGAAGAAAGGTATTTCTATCTAGTATTCTTGACTTGCTTTATCTCAGAAATATAAGACCTCTATTTTATTGTTTCAGTTGGGTGACAGTTGTGAATTATGAATATTGTAAACTTCATGAGTCACTAATTTCTAAATGTAAGTTATTGAATCACAAAAGTAATATAGTTTGGAGAAAATTTTAAGGGAGAATCTAAGACAAAGAGATGTGAAGTGAGTTGTGTATGTGGACATATCCTCTTAATGTCCAAATCAATTTGAAAACATAGATCTCATTGCTTCCATGGTGTTACTCTTTTTTTCAACAAGTTGCTTTATCTCTTCACCCAAGTCTAGCCAATTACTACTCTCAAATGTTTAACTGACTTTGTATCTAATTTCCATTCTACTATCTATATTCTGTTAGTATGTTTTTACTGACACTATTCATGAACTGGTATCCTGTAATAAAATTGGGGCTTATAGCTGTTTTAGTCCTGAGAGTTACACTTGGGTTTACAGAACATACAAGGAAGTACTGTAATACAAAATTGGAGATAAAAAGATAATCTAGAAAAGAAAGGATAAGGCTAGGGAGGTAAAAGAAGGATTTTGGCATAAAACAGAGCAGTCATTGGGGTGAAATTACATGGAATTTAAAAATCATGAAGGTATTAAATTAGAAAAATGAATATAGTTTATGGTTGCAATGGTAAGTAACCTACCTTGTCAGTTGTTTTGAGCCTTATAAAAGAACAGAAAAAGATCAATTAAGGGAGATCATGTAGGTAGGTTATAAGTGCCTCCTTAGTGTTAAGAAACTTAAAGATTCTGTATATTTTTCTAATTCTGGAAAAAAATATATACATACATGTGTCTCTTGAGACACATGCACAGATATACACACATACATGCATTGGTATTTCTCAAATCCAACTATATTTCAGTTCAGGTATGCCTACACTGGTTTTATTAACACTTATGTGTTTTGATATAAGAATTAGAAAAATTTATTTGTACACATCCTACTGGTTGGCTTTTTAGTGAATAATCTATTCACAAAGAATATAGCTAATATATTTAGATTCTCTTTTGCTAATTTATAGAATAGTAACTATAGTTTTCCAGCTCATAATTGTCTAGCCAAATACATGAATTTTTCTTGTCTTTTTCCCAATCATTAAGCATCAGTTTTTACATTATGTTTATTTACTACTATTTGCTATGTTTATTTACTTCATAACTATGTGCTTCCCTTATTTGGGGTGATGCATCTTTTTTCTTAAAGAGCAGAATCAAAACCTCTGTCTTTGGTTGTCTTTGCTGTCTTCCTTTCTTCCTTCCCAACTCCCAATGATTTAAGTAATATTAGTGATGTTATAGAACGAAAAGGGCAAAATAACTAGATAGCCTTATTTTGTTTATATAGAATCAAATTTTTGCTAACTTGTTTATTTTACTTTTTAATGTCAACTGTTCATGTGTTCATAGGGTTGCATTGGTTAGGCAGCATGTTTGACACAACTTTTCCTTTAAATTTAAGGTATAAAATTAAAATGTGTGATTTTTTTATAGTTGTTGTTTTAAAGAAATAATTTACTGAGTGAAATTTGTTCAGCTTTTTTCTGCTGTTTTTTTGTTTTGTTTTGTTTTGTTTTTTTAGGAGTGGCAGAATTCTATTCAGAAGAATGCAGGCCTGGCTTTTATTGAACTTGTCAATGAGGGAAGGTAATCTACTTTATATCTTTTATATTTTACTTTACAATATTACTGTACTTCTGCCATTGAAAGTGATAATTTTTTGTTACTATATTTTTTATTTTTGCAGTCAGTAAAGTATATGGATAATCTTCATAGTAGTCATGGTATTTCTTTGAGGATTTTTACCAAGAGAAAAGAAAATATATATAATAGATAAAAAATTTTACAATAAGACATTTTTGTATTTTGTGAAAATATGAATTCTCTTATGGTAATCACAAATATCCTTATACAGAATATAAGAATAACTGATTCTTATTGGGGAAACAGTTATTTGAATAACGTGTTTTAATGTCATTTGTGATTATAGGTTAGCTAATACTCTTTTTCTGTTTTCTTGCCAGTGCTTGCTTTGTGTAGATTTGTTATCCTCCTGTGGTTCGAAATTGTCTTCTTTATTTTAATACTTAGCCTATAGAAAGTACTTAGCCTTTGTCTTTTAAGTAAATGTAAGAAATAAATAGTGGTGGAAAGAAAACTAGCATTCATTAATGAAATAGTTGAGGCAGTGTCTGGAATTTTCATTATCTCTCTCGAAGGTAGACTATATTTTAAAGAAACAGTTTAAAGATTTATTTTTAAATCAGTGGATTTGTCTTGCATTGTATAAATATCCAATACATTGAGGTTAAATAAGTTTACATAGCGATGGATGTATTAGTGAAGTAGTTTCCAGTATTCAACTACTGGACTTAATCCCATGGGCTAGAAGAATAAGTAATAAGGGGTTTTCTTTTCACTGCAGAGACCAACCTTTTTTTTCTTATTATGTAAGTCTGACCTGCCATGACCTCATTTATAGAGTAGTTGCTATAAATGTGGTCCTTGATTAATGTTTTATTAGTGTAAATAACATAAAGACCTCTACAGACTGAGCCTATAGCATAAGGTTTATTGGATTTGATGGGTATCATTAGCAAAACAATTACTTAGGTCAGACATAAGTAATTGTTATTTGATAGAAATGTTTCTTTTAACTTACCTGTTTAATTGATATGGTACTTTATTTGTAAATACAGTGTTTTGTTATTTTTTTAGTTCATATATTGATATTGTCATGCAAACATTATGTATAGAGATAAAATAATCAGTAATCAATAACATAATCACATAATATTTCTTTGACAATTTTTACCAAGACAGAAGCAATTACATAGACTAACAATTTTTGTCAGGATAGAAGTTAACTACATACATATAATAGATTCAAGTAAAAAAATTAAATTTTCACATTTTTTAGCAAGAACATTGCTTTTCTGATTCATAATTTTGTTTTATGATAATTAAAACTTATTGTCACTGTCATCTCTATTTTAAATATATAAGCAATTGGCTAAGTGGTTAGAGTGTTGGCTCACACACCAAAGAATCTTGGTTTTGATTCCCTGTTAAGGTTATGTATCTGGGTTGCAGATTTGAACCCTAGCCCCAGTTGGGGTGTTTACGAGAAGCAACCTGTCTATGTGTCTCTTTCAAATTGATGTTTTTCTCTCTTCCCCTTTCCTCTCTCTCTCTCTTCCAGTCTCTCAAACAAACAAATGGAAAAAATATGCTCAAGTGAAGATTAACAACATCAAAAATGTGTGTGTGTGTGTGTGTGTGTGTGTATGTATACAACTAATTGATCTCAAAGAGTTTTATTTTTTTCCAAAAAGCACAAGTTTTTTTAAACAGTTTTATATTATTTAAAGAATATCAAAACATCTTTTAGAACATCCCACATTATTAGGAAAGTCACTTATTACCATTGTCTTAACCTTCTTAAATGAAACCTGAAGATTCAGTACTACAGTAAATTCAAGTATGGTAGATTAGATTATTATGCATACTGGGCTTCAGCTTATTTATTTGTGTACTTAATTTATTTTATATTGATTGCCTTTTTCTTCACTTTAAAAATGTGTTTAATTGAAAACTGAATTTAATTATACTAATTACAATTAACTGTTGCATATATATATATTTTAAAAGTATGTTTTTTATTGATTTGAGACAGAGGAAGGGATAGGGAGAAAAGTATAGAAACATCAATGATGAGAGGCTGCCTCCTACTAGGAATCCAGCCCACAACACAGGATGTGCCCTGACCGGGAATCTTATAGTCAGGTTAAATGAGTTTACATAGTGATGGATGTATTAGTGAAGTAGTTTGCAGTGTTCAGCTACTGGACTTAATCCCAGCCAGGCTGTTGCTTACATTTTTTAATTCATTATCAATGAATCTTAAAAGTCTTTTCTCATTTGGATAATGTTTAGATTTTATATTTTGCCTTTTTTCGTATTCCTACTATTCTTAGTGGCTTTTTGACATATCTTCTTAAAACTTCAGTATCTCAATATCTGTGTTAATTTTGCCAGTAGAAAAAGACACAGCTGATAGGTAGACTTTCTTCTCGCCATCTTGCCTGACACCTACCCAACAAATATATTTTAGAGCATCTTAAACTCCTGATGTTGTGGTCATGCAGATGCTCTATGAGTATTACAAAGTCTTATAACTTCACTTGTTTGACTTATTTATAAGGAAAAATGCATTGGATAAATAGAAATCATCCTGTATATTTTATATATTGTATTTAGGTTGTCCTGTTTTTGTTCTTTTAGCCTGGAATTCTGAAAAATCTGTGCATAATCTCTGCAAATAAATTTTTCATAGCTTAAAATGTCATGGAATACATGGAGTTGCCTGTCTTTATTTTTATGCAATTTCTTAATTTTTCTCCTCAGTTATATTTTATTGGCTAATCAAAGTTTAAAATTTTTTTTTAAAAAAAATATATTTTTTATTGATTTTTTTTACAGAGAGGAAGGGAGAGAGATAGAGAGCTACAAACGTCCATCAAGCCCACAACTGGGGCATGTGAACATCGACCAGCTGCCTCTTGCACACCCCCTACCGGGGATGTGCCTGCAACCAATGTACATGCCCTTGACTGGAATTGAACCTGGGACCTTTCAGTCCACAGACCGACGCTCTACCACTGAGCCAAACTGGTTTCGGCCAAAGTTTAAAATTTTTGATGTTAAAATTTAGGAAAGTAGTAGAAAGTGTGAAACTAGTTTAAAGATATAATAATTGTTAAAAATTTAAGATACTGATTCTCATCTTGAATTTTATACCTTGTTGATCATATAAATAATTATAAAGTGAACTATAATTATAGTATTGGATATAGTTTGCTAAAAATACCTTTTGAGAATATCATATCTTCCTAGGATTTTACTCTTAAATCTGTTATTATGGCTCCTCCCCACCCCCATCCTTGAAAAGTATAGAAAGAGCAGATTATACCACATACTGCTGGTCACATTGCTTTCATCATCCTCTGGGGATCATTGGTATCTGCTTATTATACAATAGTAATAATTCAGACTTGTATCTGAATATGTAAATAGCCCTCATAAAAGATATAAAGTTTCTAGTACTAACATATTTGTATGTCTCTTCAATATTCAACTGTTTAAGTTGCACTGCTACTTCCTAAGCATTCGTTTAGTAGCTCTAGCATTTTCCTTCACTCTAAATATCATAGATTCCTAATACATGTCTGTGGAATAAGTGAGTAGAAGGGGGAATGAAAGGGAAAATGAAGAAGGAGAAGGAGGGAGGGAGGCAGGGTAAAACATTTTATTCTGACCCCCTTTACCATTATCCGGGTTATATTTTGGTAAAAGACAAAGGTATTTGTTGCAGTTAGGAAAACAGTGTGGCTAGGATTTAATCGTAGCTGATCCAACCAAAGATGAAATCTGAATTGAAGTAGAGTATGTGTCTTAGATACTCTGGAGTGTTCCTTAAAGTGTCATTTGCTTTCTGGTTACATTTTTTTCTTCTTCATATTATTTAAGGTAATTTATAGGGAAAATTTAAATCTGATAAGCAGTTGTTTAGATATTAACTATTTTTTTTTAATAGTAGAATAAGAGGTCATTGTTTCAAAGATTTTTCAGAGTTTGTTTTCATCTCTATTTTTAATTGATATTTGAAGTTTGTGTGGGTTCTTTAGAACGAGGTATGTGCTATATTCTTTCTTCTTAAAGACTAAACTATTTAAAATAATGCGTAGTATTTTGGAAAGATTAATAGCTTATCAAAGAGGACTTGAATTTTCTCTTAATTAGGATAAATCTGTTTTCTTTATTTTTTTTCATGTATCTGCTTTTAAACCAGTTATATGGTCAAATTACTTTTCACTTAAAAAGAAGATTTCTTATTATGTTTTAGAGACAGTAAGGGAGAGAGAGAGAGGGAAGGAGAGAAAGACAAATATCAAAGTGAGAGCAAACCATTGATCAGCTGCCTGTTACCCAGGATCAAGCCCACAACTGGGGCATGTGGCCTGATAGAGAATGAACTAGCAGCCTTCCCTGCATAGGACAACACCATACCAAATGAGCCATATTGGCCATGGATACTTTTCACTTTTAATTTTCTATCTTTTTTTTAGTGATTTATTTATTTATTTATTTAATAATAAATTTTTATTCAGATTATTACAGGTGTTCCTCTCTCCCTTCCCCCAATAGCTCTCCTCCACCTGATTCCCCAACCTACCTCATGCCCTAGCCCTTGCCACTGTCTTCATCCATAGGTGTAAGATTTTTGTCCAATGTTTTCCTGCACCCCTCAGACCTCCTTCCTCCTGAGAATTGTCAGTCCACTCCCTTTCTATGTCCCTGATTCTATTATATTCACCAGTCCATTCTATTCTTCAGATTAAAAAAAAAACATTTTTATTGATTTTTTTAGAGAGGAAGGAAGAGGGATAGAGAGTTAGAAACATCGATGAGAGAGAAACATCAATCAGCTGCCTCCTACTGGGATGTGCCCTTGACCAGTGTACATGCCCTTGACCAGAATCAAACCTGGGACCTTTCAGACCACAGGCCGATGCTCTATCCACTGAGCCAAACCAATTTCGGCGCATTCTTCAGATTTTTTTATTCATTTGATTTTTAGATTCACT